ATACATGGGAAATCTCAGCAGAGAAAGCAAAACTTAAAAATGAGCTAAATAGAAATTCTAGAACTGAAAATAATAAAGTATGAATTTTTAAAAAAGATTTACTGGATGAGTTGAAGAGTTAATTGGATAACCAAGAGGTCAATGCACATAAACAAATTAAGAGAAGTTAGGTGTGGTGGCCATGCCTTTAATGCCAGCACTTGGGAGGCAGAGGCAGGTTGATCTCTGTTAGATTGAGGCCAGCCTGGTTTACATAGTGAGCTCCAGGTCAAGTGGGGCTACAGGGAGACCCTGTCTTAAAAAGAGAGAGACATGGGCTGGAAAGACAGCTCAGTGGTTAAGAGCACTGGCTGCTCTTGTAGAGGACCTGAGTTTGGTTCTCAGCACCCACATGGCAGCTAACAACTGTCTGTAATTCCAGTTCCAGGGGATCCAACAGTTCTCTTCTGACCTTCATAGGCATTGTATGACACACGTGCACTTACATACATGTAGGCAAAACACTCATATATATGGGGCGGGTCGCTGGACCCCCGGCGTGGTGTGTGCGGGCACCCTGGGGTCTCCGCCACACCTGGCTAGTCCCGGCGTGAGTCTGGCTGCAAGCGATGTGGGGAGCGCACCTGGGCTCCCGGGCGCACTCATTCTGGATGTGGCCCAGGGTCAGGTGTGTGTGCACTCTCCCGCTGTGGTTCTGGTCCCATTGGCTAGCCGCTGGTGGGCCTGGCCGGCCGCGCCTCTCTGGAGACGGCAGGTATGCAGACTTCTCTGATGCTGGCTGTAGCTGATAGCTACACACTTCTCTGGAGCGGAGAGCTTCCTCTGCTACTAGATTATTATCTAGTCGGAATCCCGCCTCTATTACACCCTTGTACCCTTCCTCAGGATTGCGGAGTTCCTGGCCAGTGAACTCCACAGGGAAGAGGCACGGAGGAGGCGAAAGCTGGGGTATCCGTGGGCCGATAACGGAGGAATAGCGCCCCCCTGGGGAGACTGGATCACAGGATTTAGTGTTACAGCTCAAGACAAGTGACTCAGCTCAGATCTCAGTGATTCAGCTCCAGCTCCAA